CTCTCCTTCTACTGACATTTTTCTTGAGTGAGAACAAGCTGGTGAGAACTCAGGATTAAGCTCAGCTGGGTAGAGAAGAAGTGCCCAAGGGACATCACTTCCCTCCTGAGCTCTCCCACGGCTCTTACTGCCTTTGTTTGTCTGTCTGTTTTCCCTTTCATCTCCAGCCCCTCTCATCTCACCATGTGTCTGTAGCTCAGGCTGGCCTTCAGCTTGCAGCAGTCTTCGCCTCTGTCTTCCAAGTGTTGAAATCGTGCGCGTGAGTCAGTACACCCTGCTCTTCTGTCAGGACCATTCTGAAGCTGTGGGCTTCGGGAGCCTTAGGTGATGGGATTGTTTCTTAAAACCAGCTTTGTACATGTATGCCTTAAACCAAGTATGGTGGCTTATGTCTGTAACACTAGCTCTTGAGAAGCTGAGACAGGAGGACCACTGAGACTTCAAGGCTTGATTTTGCTATATGACTAGTTCCAAACAGCCTGAGGTACAATGTGAGACCTTGTCTCAAAATACAGGTGTTTTATAACCCCTTAAGTACCACTTGCCCCTTTGCAGTCAACTTGCTTCTCCACAGCTCCCCGCCCCAGAGCAGCCTCTTGTCTGGACTCTGTAGCCAGAAGTTAGTTTCCCTGCTGTAGGGTTTCAGGCAGATGGACTCTTCTAGCATGCATTGCTTGGCTTCCTTCAGCCATGTGATATTTTAGAGATTTCTCCATGCCTTCTGCAGCAATAGTTTCCTTCGGTTGTTTAGCCAAGCAGTATCTATTGCATGTACATACCACAAAGTGTTTGCCAGTGGTAGAAACTTGAACAGTTTTCCATTTTTGGTTACTATGAATGAAGTTGCCATGGAGATTTGTGTTTGTGCCTTTCTGTGTTTTCATTTCTCGTGGTTTATGACCCAAACAAGGTGGCCGCGTGGTTTCACGTTCCTCCAACAGTGTGAGTGTCCTTTTGTTCTGAGCTTTCACCCACACTTGGGATTTAGCGACTAGGCGTGGATATATAGCAGTCTCTCATACATTCTAATTAACATACCATACAATTTGCAGTGGAAGTATCCAGTTCACTGCTTTTAAACATACTCAGAGTTGTGCAGCCATTGCCACAGTGTTAAACTATTTTGTACCTTGATTTGAAGCCTTGCCCTTCAGCCATCATTTTCCATACCTACAGCCTCAGCAACTCTGCCTTTATAGTTTCCCAGTTATGAACATTGTGCATAAATGCAGTCACATTGTATGGAGCACCTGAGGTTACTTCTTAGCAAGGTCCTTCATGTTGTCATTTTTATTTGCTTCCTTTTTCTGACCAAATAACATTCAATTAGATGGATGTATGCATGCACACACACACAGTAAGGAAAGGACTCGAGCATTACAGGGCTTGGGGAGCAGCTCAGCTTCTTTTCTGTTGCTGTGCTAGAAATACCCTGACAGAGCAACTTAGGGAGCAGAGGTTTGTTGGACTCAATTTCAGGGTACAGTTCACTGTGGCAGGCGGGTCACAGCAGCAGGGATGAGAGAGTTGGCCCTATTACATCCACAGTCGATGTGAGCAATCAGTGCACGTGTGCTGGTGCTCAGCCTGCCCTCCCCGTTTCACACAGTCCAGATCCCTGCTCAGGGCATGGTCTCGTCCACAATTAAGGTGGGTCTTCCTTTATCCTTTAATATAGTCAAGAGAGTTTGTCAGAGGCATTCTCAGAGGCTAACCTTAATCTAGAAAGTTGCTTATAGAAATATATGCCCAGAATCCTACCTCTTAGGTCTTAGATGTTGTCAATTAATACTAACCATCACCGGGTAAAAGGAGTCATTCCTTTCAGCCCCACTCCACCTCTGCTTGATCTGCTGTGGCCTTTATCTGGTGTTTGCTTTAAGATTTATTTTTAAATAGTTTTCTTTCTATAATTGTTCTTATATATATTTATTGTATTTTATATGTATTGGTGATTTTACCTGGCTGCATGTCTGTGAGGTTGTCAGATCCTCTGGAACTGGAACTACAGACAGTTATGAGCTACCATGTGGGTGCTGGGAATTGAACCAGGGTCCTCTGAAAGAGCATCCAGTACTCTAAACCATTGAGCCATCTCTTCAACCTCAAGATTTATTTTTATTTACATGTATGAGTGCCTGCATATGTCTCACAGTGGCCAGAAGAGGGCATCAGGTTCTCTGAACTGTAGTTACAAATGAATGTGAGTCACCATGTAGGTGCTGAAACTGATCCAGTGCTCTTAACTGCAGAACCATCTCTCCAGACACAGGAAATTTTTTAAGCAGTCCCCCATCAGGGTGCCCGACTGCCACAGATAGATATGCATTCTTTGCACACAAACGTTCTTTCTCTTTATACCAGTGTGCTTGATAATGTTTTGTTAAATTAGTGGGTTGTGCTTACAGTTCTGATAGGAAGTAGGTAGTTGGATCTTGAGTCTACCATAAATACACTTCCTGTCATGGGTTGTTGTTGTTTGTTTGTTTTTTCCCTTCCCTGAGTGCTGCCTGCCATCCCTATGTCCAAACTTTTGGTTCCAGTGTCTCACGTGGACCCAAAGCCTCCGCCCTGATGTTGGGGGAGTGGGTATGGCTAGGCACCCTGTTTCCCTACTCTTTCCCATTTATTCTGTTGTGTCCCCATCTCCCCACATACACCCAAAGGCTGGGAGAATCTGAAGTCCTTGACTCTCCTGCCTGCTTCCCATTTCCCCGGGCACCTCTTATCTACTCCTTGTTTTTGTTGGTTTATGTCCTTTTTGTTTTCTTTTACTGTGATTTTATTGGGATTTAGGGGAACAAGAGAAAATTGTGCACTTGCTCTGTTGTTTTACCCAGATGTCAAGAACCTGTTTTTAATCATAAAAGCATTGCTCAGTTAAGTGAACCTCCAATGGCTTCTACCCTGGTTATTACGATGCCCTTGGTTACTCTCTTGCTCCTGAATCCCGTTCTTCAGGTGACCTCTCTGTGACATCTCCTTCCCCACTCATCTTTCCTTACATCGAGCCCACAGGAGCTGGAGGCACTGCTTTCCTGGCTGTATGTATTCTTTCACTTGAAGTACATGCGCACTCAAATGGGACTGGTTTGTAGTGCGACGAAGGTGTCATTCTTTCTTAGTGGATTGGGGGTGTAGTAGTACACCCCTAGTTCATATGCTCTGGTTGTCAGTCCCCTCCCCCATGCCACCCTGAGGGAGCAGTAGTAGGTGCAGAAGCATCCACAGCTGCTGAAGAGGCTCCCCACACTCGCTGTAATAGTTCATGAAGTCATTCCTCTAACTTCAGTACCTGTTTGAAGGTAATGGGGAAGGATTGTATGGTAGATGAGAAGATACTAGCCATTAGGTTAGGAGTGGAAGGGAAATGGGCTAAGGATAACAATGAGGATTAGAGCAGCTGTGGGAAAGAATGAGTGAAAAGTAGATGGAAAGGAGGAACCTGGGTACTGTTAGGACTCACAATTAAAGATTGTTACAGCTACAGAAGGTGGGAGTTAAGAGGGGACTGTGCATGGAGAAGAGAGAAGAAATGAGGTAGGAATGAGAGGAGAGACTGGCCTTGTATAGAATGAATATAATCTAGCAATATCATAATCAAAGCAAGACCATTAAGACATGCTTTTGCATGCCAGAGAGATGGCTCAGAGGTTAAAAGCCCTGGCTGTTCTTATAGAGAACCTGGGTTTAATTCCCAGCACCCACATGGCAGCTCACACTGTCTCATGCCTTCTTCTGGTCTCTATGGATACAAGGCACACAAATGGTACACAGACAAACATACAGACAAAACACTTGTACTCATAAAATAAAGTAAAGATAAATGTGGAAAGGTATTTATGCGAGGATGAAAATTGAAAAAGCAAAAACAATGTTAAAATTATCATCATATGAGGCAGTATCTCTTCCTTGTTGGGATGATTCTGAATCCCTCCCCTCCCTGTGATGTCTCATGTGGCAGAATACTGATGAGACAGACGCAGTTTGTTGTTCTAGCTCACAGTTTTACATCAGATTTGTGGGTGTGAAGTGTTCAAACAAATGACCTTTGGGGTTGAGTTTCTGCTCTTTTGCCAGTAGGTGTCAGACCTTCCTTGAGTTTTTCCCAGCCCTCTAGATGGACTGTTGCTGTTGGTAAATGTCCATATCATTGTTCCACATGTGTTAGAGATGGTGACATTCACCCACTTGGATTAGTGGGAGTTAAGTCCAAGGTACTGGTGTGGCTGTGCTGGTGTTTAGCTTGTTGGGTGCACATGCTTCTTACCTGGGCTTTGGCTACCTCTGTTCCTGTCTACTTCCATGGTATCTGCTAAGTTCTGAGCTCAGCAGAAATTTTCTGTTCTTGGTCACCTGTGGAGTTTGGAGGGTGCTTCCTTCTGAGAGTATTGCTCCCAGGACACCCACAGATAATCTCACCTTCAGACTTTCTCTGATGTGTGACACATTGACTGCTGTCTCCACAGCCTGTTAATCCTGAGTCAGCCTGGGTATATTTATCAACCCCTGGGTATATATCTAACCCCTGTCCCATCTCTCTAGCTCATTAATTCCTGTGTCTCCAATGTAGGGAATGAAGGTGGGTAGGGAGCGCCAATTTTATTTTGGCAGTGGTTGGGATTGAACCCAGTGTGTCTTACTTGCTATACAAACACCCTAACACTGAGCCACTCTCTCACAGTCTCTCGGGATATAAGGAAATGCATCCTCCTTCCTCACCACCCTTAAGAGTTTGGATTACAGATATGTACTCACATGTCTGACCCTCTTCTGCTTTTATGCTGGGGCACGAGAGACCATATAGAAGATTTGGGGAAATCTAATTTATACCAACTTATATTTGGCATTATATGTGTTTATATATTATTGTAAAATATATTAACTGCTGCCTGATATGCAGTTCTCGTGATGTGTGTGTGTGTGTGTGTGTGTGTGTGTGTGTACACATATAAAGCAAAGACAGTTACTCACTGGGCTGCCTTGTGTTGGTTTTACAGATGCAGGATGATGGGAGCACGTGTTGATGAATCTTTGTTCCCTGCAGTGAATTCTAATGAACATTTACCAAGCCCAATGAGAAAAAAAGTAAGTGTGTAACTTCAGTGCAGACAGGGTGATTATGAATGTGTCACTCCTGGTATTTACTCTAGAAGTCATTTTCGTAGACATTGTTCAGAGTGTCGTAAGTGTGCTGTTGCTTTTCTCACGTAAAATCTCTAGTTTGCTGTAAAGTATTTTTTGGTATACGAATGCTTTGATGTAATCTATAGAAAATGGAAGAGATGTAGTTGACCTTGAAATTAAAACTTGCCCCAAGATTAGGCAGCCATTTGTGTTTGGTGTTTCTTTTCTTTTTTTTTTTTTAATTTTTATTTTATGTGTTTATGTTTTTCCTGCCTCTGTGTCTGTGCACTACATTCAAGTCTGGTGCCCATGGAGTCCAGAAGAGGGAATTGGATCCCTTGGAGCTAGAGTTGGTTGTGGGCTGCAAAGTGGGTGCTGGGGATTGAACCCAGGTCCTCCACAAGAACAACCAGTGCTTTCAACTGCTGAGCCATCTCTCCAGCCCCTGGTTTTTCTTTGTTTGAGTGTAGCTCGCTGTGAAGTATCAAAGCACCTTGTTCTCATGCAAGAACCTCTGTTAGATTTGCTGACCTAATCAAGATTGAATGAGGTGGATGAGAACTGTAGGCTTTAAGCTGAGTGGAGGAATTAGCTGTGGGCTTCTCTGCACTTTAGAAGATACTGCATCGTGTATATCCATTATGTTCATCACTTCATCACAGTAAGCTGGGTGCCAGGGCAGTGATGAGGATACTCCCTCAAGGCTTCTCCAGACTTGCTCATCTGATTCTTGTCAGTTCTTGACTGTAACATGCCCAAGTAAAGGACTTGGAACAACACATCAGGAGTACATGCTATTTTCATTTAACACACTTGGTAAACTCAAGCAGAACAGGCATCTCTGATGTTTCTTCCCTCTGTCACTTCAGCTTGACTAGTGACCTGGGTAAGAGTCCAGAGTGCTCACTGCATGTTAGCACTGTGCCCACGCTACACAGTGAAGCTCTGCTGAGCTAGGTGTTCTGCTTGCTGGGCTGTCTATCTTCCCCACTTAATAGTGTGTCTTTGATCATATTAATTTCGTTTTATATTGCATATTATGAGTGAGTCTTTTCTATATATACTCACAATCCATGAGTTTTTATGAAGCACGTTACGTGTGAAATAAGCATTTACTTGTGAACACAAACATAGACGTAGAGTTGGTGACTCAATGTGCAAATAGCCTTAGATTTGGAGATTCTATCAATAGTGTGCAAGAGCACGTCTTTGTTGTCCAGTGCTTTTGTATTATCTTTACACTTTTTTTTAGTCTGATGTATAAATAGTGACTACCTGAAGCCTACACTTATCACTTCTAAAACCTTCCTTTTTCTTCCCTTTTCCAAATGCAATTGCAAAACATGACTTGAGAAACATTATTATTTTAGGTGCTTGGAGGGCAATTTCTGTTCTCTGCCCCCAGCCTGACCATGTGACTTGTTTAGTCACATCGTCATATTATCTGTTCCCTCCCTCCCGATCATGCTCCTCTGACATCCACTCGAGACTCACTTTGCAGCCTTCCCTGGCTTCGTGTAGGTGTCACGTTACCCATCAGCCCTCTCTAACACTCCCTTTTGCAGTAGTAGAGGTCTTTCTGCTTGTGACTGCTGCCTGGTTCTGACAGTTTCATCTGTGACCGAAGTTCCTAGGTGCTATATGGATTTGGAAGGAAGCTTTACTATTTTCAGGTTCTGTAAATCTTTCTTTTATAACCAATTGAACACTGTTCTAACGGCCGCCATCTGTCTAGTGATAGAAAGACACCAAATACTAAGGTCACAGAGTGGAACCTCTATCCTCCGCTTGCCACTTACCCATGGGAAGAGTACTCCAGGTACACCGCTAACCCTCCTGACAGAATAATGTCCACAAGCTGTACAGACTGTCCTGACTTAACCTCCCAGCTTGCACGAGTAGAACCCACTTACCCACTATGGCTCTTAACTGTCATTCATCATTCTGGTGCAAGCTCTCATATGTTGAGGACCAGTGCCCGAAACTAAGGCCTACCTGACCAAGAAAGTCAAGAACAAAACTGGGGTATAGACCTACAAGGGCCAGAAGCAACTAAGACAAAGAAACTATGATTCATTTCTTTAATTACTGAAATAATAGCTTTTGTGTTCTGTGTCATTGGAGGGAAGTTGGTGTGAGGATAGCAGAATGCCTAGGCTGCTTCTTAGAGCACTCTTGGCTGCTGAGAATGCTGGCATCTGGAAATAGCTCAGAAAACAATTGCATAGTGTATAGCCTTTTACTTTATCTCTTAAATTCTATTTGTCAGAAATAAGTATTGCTAACTCACATACAGTATAACAAATAATTCTTTAAGAAATTCTTTTAATTTTGATGTCGTTATAGTTACCAGAAGTGTATGGGAAGGACTTTCTCTCCTGTTTTAAAAAACAATCAACAATCATAGGGACTGGAGAGATGGCTCAACAGTCTCCTTCAGAGGACCTAGTTGGGTTCTCTTCCCAGCATCTAAATGGTGACTCACAACTGTCTCTAACTCTAGTTTCAGGGGATCTGGCACCCTCTTTTGGCCTCTATGGGCACCAGGCATGCATATGGCATACATACATAAATGCAGGTCAACATTTGTTCACTTACAACCAAGCAAATGTTTTGGTTTTGTTTTTGCTTTTGTTTTTTTTTTTTTTCAAGACTGGTTTTCTCTGTTTATCCCTGGCTGATCTTAACTCACAGAGATCTGCCTTCCTCTGCCTCTGCCTCTGCCTCCTAAGTACCAGGATTAAAGGTATGCACCCCTACCATGCAGCATAAGTAAATCTTTTAAAAATAAACAATACAGAACACAGTACACTTTCATTAATGTTGATATCCTTTTTGCCTAGCACAAATGTATGCAGCCTAAAGATTTTATTCCTAAAACACCAGAAAATAACAAAAGACTTCAAAAGAAGTTTGACAAAATGGCTGAGGAGCTACAGAGACAGAAGACAACCCTTGGTAAGCCAAGTCCACTGTCCTAACAGCTGGAGGTGTGGAAGCTGCTATAGCTTTAGGGAGGAAGGAGAACCCATTATCATCTGCCCACTGGAGGCTGAGTGGTAACTGAGAGAGCCAAAGGAAAGGACAGCCAGAGAATCCTCATCACTCATTAAGTCAATGGAATTCTTTTCTGAGAAATGATTACAGGAGAAAAACAATTCCATTTCTTTAATGTTGCCTTTTTATTTAATGCCTTGTCTTTTTGTTTCTTTACCTAAAATAGGTAAAACTTAGGCAATGTTTGCTTTGAATGCTATAGGGAAACACTGGGTTCATTTCCCTTGGTCAGATTCAAGTGTGGATGTATATGGAGTATGAACAGTGCTCAGTAGGACCACTTTCTGAAACCTGGAGAGAAAACCAGTTTTAGAAGCCAACCCACATTCCAGCTTTCTTGTTAGTTGTGTGATTGTGTACATGATATCGACTTACCTGTGACTCAGTGATTACCTCTGTAAATGAGGATGCCAACACCTATCATCTTGTAGGGTCTGGGTACACTTGGATGAATAATGCATGTCCCTTACTGGGAGCTCAGCAAGGATCTACTGTCAGTGCCATGATTCATGATAGGGATAATACTGTCTGGGAAGAGAATGGCCCTGAAGGGAGTGGGATGCAGAGGTGTGGAGATGGCCTTAGCAGAATCAAACTGGTGAGGTGTGGAAGCATTTTCCTGAACTTAAAGTTGAACTGTTTCCAGATGATGGTGTTCCCGTCCTCCAGTTTGAGTCTCGCTCATTGGTGTACAGCTCCACAACTCCTGTCAGGAGTCACCAGAGCATGATGGAAAAGAGACTAAAAGAGATGAAGGAAAAAAGGGAACATCTTTCCCCTACCTGTAAGTGATAACTTTGTAAAATGAAAATAATTCTGGTGAATTACAGGAGATGTATTAAGTCATAGATGTTCTTTGAAGGTTTCTCAGCCACAGCACTTTTGACTTTGGGGGATAATTCTTTGTTTTGTACACAATCTAAACCAGTAATAACCCTCCCTCACCTTGGGACAGACATTGTCCCATGTCTACTTCAGCACTAGGGTCCTACTTGGAGGTAAATATTAAGAACTTCCATGGTTAGCAAACAAATGAAGACATTCATTTGATTTGGTTTACGCTTTAGGCAAGTTGGATTTTTAAACTTTCATTCTACATATTCTGTAAGTTAATGCTTTGGGGACAATAATTGATAGGAATTCATTTTTGTCAGTCTAATGTCTACAATATACTTTACGTAGTCTTTCTACTCATTATATTATACTAAGCTTAGAATATATAGTCATTTAATATGTATATGGGATCAAGAGCAGAATAGATAGATATGCTGTTGTCCTGTCCAGTAGGAGATTGTGATTCAGTTCAGTGACATGTCATTGTTTTATCAGCCTCTCAGATGTTTGAACAGGCTCAACAGAATCCAAATACCTCTCTGTGTGAAGCATCTTTGAACGTTTCTCGTGAATCTTTAAGTTCAGGTAAAATTGTAATTTATTTTTTTCTTTTTATGACAAAGTTATGATTTGAAAGGTGTATTTTGTGTGTGTGTGTGTGTGTGTGTGTGTGTGTGTGCGTGCGTGCGTGCGTGCGTGTGTTTGTGTATCCACTCACACTTGTACTTTTGGAGATAGACTTTTGCTATGGAGCCCTGGCTGGCATGGAACTTACCATATAGACCCAGCAGGCCTCCACAACAGTGGTCTTGCTTCCTCTTGAGTGCAGAGATTACAGCCATGCACCACCAAGCCCAGCTTTCATGTTGCTATTTCTAAACATTCAAGTAACTTAGTACAACTGCAACTCACATTTCTCCTTGAGATTTGGTAGCATTGATTCAAAGCCAGGATCTCCTGCTTGAAGTCTATGGATTGCTTCCTGGGGATTTGTCTTTTTGCTGAGGAATAAGTTACTTATTTTTAGAAAACCTTGTGACTATATATGAATTACTAAATGCAGTGTAAAACATTTCTGTCTGAGAACAGTTAGTGCCGAAGAGGAATTGTTTAATGTTTAGTTAACCTGTGAAGTATGTTATTGAAAAGAGTCTATCTAAAGTAGTGTGAGAAGTCTTGACTTTTTTCTTTTCTCTTTCTTTTTTATTTTAAAGATTTATGTATGTATGTATGTATGTGTAGTTTCCTGCCTATATGTATGGCTGCATGCCAGAAGTGGGCACCAGGTTATAGATGATTGTGAACCATCATGTGGTTGCTGGGATTTGAACTCAGGACCTCTGGAAGGCCAGCAGTGCTTTTAACCTCTAAGCCATCTCTCCAGCCCAGCTTTTTCCCTCCAAGATTATATAACTTTCATGTGTCAAGTTTCTTACACTTTTTTCCCATAAGCCCATGGGAGACTCTAAATAAAGTCTCAGGAACCCTGAAAGAACTGTGTCCAAAGTGCTTCAGATGCTTTGTGTATCTTGGAAAGCTACAAGAGAAGATTGAGCTAAGCTTTCTTCCTATTAGTGTGCGGTGTATTCTGGCATTTCCTCCTACACGCTCTGGATTATTCACCCATTTATCTTCTCGTTTTCTGCTCGGATTTCTTGGTTGGAAATAAATAGTGATTAAGAATGTTTGACTTCATTTCCCTGCACAGTTTTATGTCTCACTGTAAAACACATACCCACACACACACACCCACATCTCAGTGAAGTAGGCTGCATCCAGATTCCCATTTTACCAGAGGGAAAACCAGGACAGGGAGAGGGCAGGTGGTTTATGCAAGATCCTGTGATTGTGAGTGACACACCCAGGCCACTGACTTAAGTAGTCTAGAATTTAGGCTCTCAGTGATCTACCACAGTGTGTCATGGCTCTTGGAAGAGTGTGATGATTTCTTTCCATTGCTAAGAGTAAATCTCATGGGCCCTCCACTGAGACCTTCATAGCACATCCATACAGGCTCAGTGTCAGGCTGGCCTTTGCTCGTCCCTTCACAGAGCTTGGTGTAAAGAAAGGTGTATCTTTGTTGCCACTGCTCAATTCTTAAAATTAAACTGCCATTGTCTCAAGCAGAAGTTAGAATCCCAGTATTTCCCCAGATTGAGTGGTTTCTCTAAAATGGAAGCCCTCAGCCAGCCAGCACTGTGCCAGTAGAGAGCCAGCCTCAAGTGATGACTATAAGTTCGCAAATGAGCAAAGAATGGTGACTGCCCTCTAGTACCTCATAGTGTAATAAGAGAACAGAGAGCTGGGCGGTGGTGGCGCACGCCTTTAATCCCAGCACTCGGGAGGCAGAGGCAGGTGGATCTCTGTGAGTTCGAGGCCAGCTTGGTTTACAAGAACTAGTTCCAGGACAAACTCCAAAACTATGGAGAAACCCTGTCTTGAAAAACCAAAAAGAGGGGCGGGGAGGGAAAGAGGACAGGAAGCCTTATGCTGTGGTGAATATTATTGTGTCATGGGAAGGTTTAGCAGTGTGACCTGACAGGGTAAAGGGTTCACAGGTAACTCTGACACTAAGGTGGTTCTGACAGATGAGTTGTGTTTACCCACAGTAAAAGGTGGAAGAAAGATGGCTTTCGATCTGAGGAGCCTGGAGACTTCAGGTGGTTGGGGCAGCTTAGCATTACTCCTGAGAAAAGTGCAAGTTTCATGGGAGGTCAGAAAGCTGAGGGTCCTGCATGGTTCATTTGAAACATAAATGTAACATGAGAACTTGCCAGAATATGGGGATATGGGATGGAGGAACTGCATTGTATTTATCAGAGGAAATGTTTCATAGAATACCAAAGATTAACCAGGAATGGTGGCACATACCTCTAAAACCAGCATTTGGGAGGCAGGGGCAGGCGAACCAGCTAGGTCTACATAATAAGACCCTGTCTTTAAAAGAAAACAAGGTAGTTTATGGTCAGTTGCACGTTTTTATGAAGATTCTTTATTGATCTCTCCAGATGAATCCTTCGCCAGTTGTTCACACACATCTTTTGATGATCTCTGTGGAAACCAGGGAAAGAAACGGGGAAAATCTGCTAATGAGTTGGCCAGGAAGGCATGCTTTTCCTCACCTGTGTTGAAAACAAGCAGTTCTTACGATTCAGCGTTGCCCAATCACCTCAGTCAGCCAAGTCCTCTGAAAACTACAGACCATCCTCCAAAGGAGGGCACCAGCTGGCAGAATGACACTGCAGGTGAAGAAGTCGACCCGGAAAGAAAGCAAGCTGCAGGTGTGTCTCAGGGGGTACCTGATGAGAAGCTCTGTCTGTCCCCTGCGCTGTTTGCCTTAGGTGGACCCAAGAGTTCCTCAGCAAAGAGAAGAAGGCCAGCGGATTTGGGTTCACCTCCAAAAGGATCACTTAAGAAGAGGTACAGTGGGAAGTCTGCCCTGACACCTCAGCTGTTCAAGTCTGACCATAGCCGGCAGTCCATGACTGACCCCTTTCTGGGCACTTCTGATGTTGGGGCTTCCTCTTATGAGGACTACTTTTCTCCTGATAATCTCAAGGAAAGGAATTCGGAGGCTCTTTCGCCTAAGGCTCAGCCACTACTAAGCCGTTCTCTGTTCCACTCCAGAGGACTCTCAAAGTGGGAGCGAAGAAACATACTGGAAATGTGTGACTTTACCCACATTGGTAAAGAACCCATACCCATGAGCACAACTGACTTAATTTCAGAAAGTGCTTCTAGTCCTGAGAAGCCTGATGAGAAGGCAGTGAGTACAGTTCCTAGGTGCATTTTGGTGGGAACGTCTGCTACAGAACGCCCAGAGTGTGGCAGGCAGCCTGGCCTGCAGCTCAGGGAGGCCACAGGGCCACAGGGAAGTACCCATGCTGACACCCAGAACAGCCCTGCTCATTGCATCACACCCTTGAAAGAAGGCAGTAAGGAAGCAGGAGAACCAACTGATGTAAAATGTTCACCAAAAGACAGGACCACTCCTCCAACGTCGGCGTCTTCTGAAGGAGAAGCACACACCTTCAATTTTGGAGAGGATTGTAATGTAGAAAAATCTGTAGAAGAAAAGGAGAACATAGCCACAGGATATAGTCAAAGTATGTGAATATTATTTCCCAAGTATTTTTGTTCTGCCAGTATGTAATACTGTATTCATATTTTAAATCTGTCATAACTTCATAATTTAAGTCATCCCCCCCCCCTTTAGGGAACATTTGTTTGCTATTTCCCAGTGTCAGGCCCTAAACTTTATGCTCAGATCTGTTGCCATGAATACTCTTCCCCAGACTTGTCCTTGTGGACTGTAAAAAATAAGCAAAAGCACAGTAATGCTTACTTTAAATGGTTGGCTTATGCCTCTCTCACTTAGTGTGACTGTACATACTACGGTGACTGATAGAGGATTTTTTTTTTTATTAATTTAGGTCTGTTTAGGAAGGGCTTTGTATGTGATGAGTTCAGTAAAGAGACTGCCAACATTGCCACTCCACAATCAGGGAGGGTTTTTATTGTGAATAAGAAAGAGTATCCAGAGGTACGTGAAAGAATCCAGAGCAGCAGAACTGAGAAGCAGACTGGACATGACCAGGGCTGTCTGCCAGACAAGGGAGAAGAGCAGAAGCAGAATTGTGCATAACAAGAGTGATGGGGAAAGAGACAAGAGAGAGACTAGCAGCAATATCCAGGGCCAGAGTGCTGGAGTGGGGGCTTTGTACTATCAGTGCTTGTGAACAGGAAGTGCAGGATCCTGGAGGTCAGCATGGGCCTTAACATGCAGCCTCCTGTCCCTTCTAAGGAAAATGACTCCTGCCTGATGGTATGGTACTGGTCACACAGTTCCTGAGGAAGTCTGGCTTTCACTGGATCACCAAACATCCTCCTGTCGTCCAGGTGAGCTGTTGAGCTGGAAGTAGATGAAGTTTGGACCAAGTCAGTGGGTTTGACCTTTTAGACTTCACGTTTCTTCCACAGAGCTCTAGAGAGAATCAGCCATGATTTTGCTAAGAAAGATAAAAAAGTAAGTTTTGAAATTTGTCAGTGTTTACTTTTGAAGAAACTTCGGGCAATGTTCAATAATAACAAATATATTTAAAATATTTTATTCAGTTAAGAATTTGGTTATGGCTGGGCCGTGGTGGCGCATGCCTTATAAACCCAACATTTGGGAGGCAGAGAAGGTGTTTCCTGGTCCACAGCAGGAGTTCCAGGACAGCCAGGACTATTACACAGACAAAAAATAAAAAAAAAAAAAAATCAAACAAACAAAACAACTAAAAGCAAAAAAAAAAAAAAAAAAAAAAAAAAAAAAAGGATTTGGTTAGATGTCTCTCTAGCCCTCAAGTAAGAAGGTGGTTGTTGCTTTGATTTCTGCTTGTTTTGCTTTAAGATTATCATTCAGATAGGTTTGTTTATCCCTAACTATAATTAAATTATAATTACTAAGGTGCTTTATTTGTTGAACATCACAATAATGAGGTATAGATTTTGAGGCAAAAGTAACAAAAATATCAATAAATTTTGCAATCAAAATTGAAATCTTGGACTTTGACCATTTTTTTAAATTTTGGTTAAAATTGAATATGACCAAATTGGCCCATCATCATTTCTACATTTAGGTGACTTTAGCCGCTATAGGGTAGGTGTGTCAGGTGAAATAATTGCAGCCTGTCTCATATCTTTGAGTATAAACTCACCCACATCAGCTCATAACATCAACTAAATGCTTTTTAGTTTTAAGCTCATAAGTAGCTTAGCTTTTAAATAATTTATATTATATCCATAAGAGTTTTGTTACTGAAGATTAATGTGCTCTCAAAAATATACAAAATTGATTGACTAGTAAATATGAAAGAGTATATATGTAGAACTGTTTTGATACTTCACAATATCCTGTTTTGAGTTGTGAGTTTTTATCCTCTTTTAAAGCTTTTGAATATTATATGATATATTTAAACCATTTGAGTATTGTGTGATATGTAAATATAAATTAAGTATGACACAACTGGTTCCAAACAGCCTGGCACATCCTAAATCCCAGCATTTTTGGTGTGCTGTCTTTAGAAGTAGGTGTATTTCTTCATGCAGAGCTCAGCCTTCCTGTCCACAGTCCTAAACGTCAGACTTCAGAAACAGACGGTGAAGGGCGCAGACATGGTGTGGCCCTCCAGGACTGGAGAAGAGTGAGAGGGTTGGTGATGATGGTGGGGAGGGAGGTTGGCTTGCTGGTACACAGACAAGGACTGTGTGATTCAGTTTAACTCTGATGGAAATGTACTGTAAACTAGCCTAAACTCAAGCACTTTCTTATACTAATAGCATGAAGACTCACAGATATTTTACATTGTCCACTGTCAGCCCAGCCTGGACTCAGGCCAGTCAACTCTTTGGGGATCCACCATAGAAACAATCATAAATCCTTGGGCTGAAATGGGAATTCTGTAGTTGCCCCAGCTGGAGCCAGGAAGGCTGCTCTGAGCATCTGCTAGACCCTCCATGATCCTTAAGTTGAAATGAAAGGCTCCAGTCTGCTTTCATCTTATATGCACTTGTTGACTCTAAGATAGCGTGCCATAAGTTTCCTGAAGAAAGTTACCAAAAAGGTCAGTAACATTGAAACAGTGTGGCATAATCATTAACTCTTCACATTTTATTATCTAATTTTATGAACACAAAAAAAATATCCATTGTTAAAAAGAATAAACTTTCCCATCAAGTCCTTACTTTCTGTCTTGTATTAATTCTTGGATTACTAATGAAGGTTAGTTGTAGACCTGTTACATCTCACACAAGAGAGAAGAAAACAGTGTGTACCCCTACACCCAACAGACTCTAGAGAAAAGACTGATAATAAATCTAAATAGGATGTGTCAGCTAGTGAATCTGTTCAAGGGTAAGAACAGTAAAGAAACATCCAACATGACCATCCCATGGCATAGGTTAAGGTTTTTATTGTAGATTTGTGAGTGAGAACAGCCAGAGGCATTAGGAAAAGTCCAGAGCAGAGAGAGAAAGAAGTAGACTGGTCATGTCATGACCAGGGCTAGGGAAGCAGGAGAGCAGAGAAGAGTGGACATAGTAGACTATTCGAGTAAGAGACAGTGAGTGGGAATAAGAGCTTAAAGGGATAGGCAGGGAGAGACAGTGTAGTGAGAATAACAAGAGATGGCAGGGGTTGGGGGAGCCTCAGCTTCATAAAGAGGACAAATGGTGTCTGGAAGGAGCAGAAGAGAGAAGGGCTAGGATGCTAGCATAGACTTTGAAATGTATCATAGGTACTTGTAATACTGAGGGAGCCTGGAGGCCAGCGTGGACTTTGATATGCAACCAGATATGTATTAGTGGAGCCATATGTCCCTTCTTCCAGATTCCAGACATAAGGAAAATGGCTCCTTTGGGCAGATGGGAACCAGTGTCACAAGTTCCTGAGGAATGCTGGCTTTAACCCCTAGAAATGCTCATATAGTCCAGGCTGATCCCATTTCTGGATGTACGGACTGCCTTTTGGAGTGTGGGGAATTGGAATTTCTCTTGGACCTGACAGTGAGTAATTAGAAAAACAGTGACACCCTGAGAGCTCTGGCTCCCTCAGGCACCCAGAAGGCTTCTCTAAGGAGGTTTATTGACCGCAGGCCAAGCGAGAGGGCATGTTTGTGTCTATTGGAGGTAAGTACAAATGAGTATCCGACAGGAAGGAGGAGGCCAGTGCAGCAACAAGCCAGTGAGCCTATGAGGCAGGGATGGTGACCACAAATGGGGCAGGAATCAGATCCACAGGACCTTCCCTCCCCAGCAAGTCAGGGAGTTCCAGTTTGTTTTGTAGTGTGATGAGAAGCCGCTGGGGATTTTGAGCTGAAGTAACCAAATCCGATTTGTTTTCATCGTAACCCTGGAAACTGTGAAGAACAAACTGTAGTTTAGTGTGTTTGCTAGAAGCAATTACTGTCAACAGTATTTCCTTCCAGATAACTGTGTGTGTATAAACATACAAGTGAAATATATTTAAAGGGATTCTCTTGCATACATAGAATCATATTATCCTGTTGCTTTAACTTGGCCTTTTAAAAGCTCATAACCACACATCAGATGTACTCTTCACAGTGGATTATTTTTTTAGTGTAGCTGCATTGAGGATCAGGGACATTTCCTGAACTAGGTCAAAAGGATATAAAGACAGATAATTAGAGAAAGACATTTTTCCAAAATTTTTGTTGATGAAATTCAAAATTGAGTATAGTTTTTGGAGTGCATGTCTTTGGTAAGGGAGAATGAATGGCCATGATCTTATGGGGACTCTGGTAGCTGAGTTTCCCATCAAACTTGAATGCAAGTAATTCTTTACGACTGATGCTTATCAGTATTTTGTATCTCACCCTTGAGTGTGCCTTTTCACAGAGATGGGTCCTGTCCAGATCTGATGCTCGTTCACAGGAGATGGTTCTCCAGGCTGTTAGGTCCTAAGGCAGTGTTTATGTAACTGTAGGTCGTCTCTCCATGTGTGCCTTCCAGCAGGTCCTTATCTTGTGCATGTGGCACTTGGCAGTGGGAAGCTCAGCAGAAGCTCTTGGATCACGCAGGTAGTGTGGCCTTGGAATTAAGAAATTGATTGCTTTGTACTTTTGCAGCTCTAGGAAATACTGTAGGAACTATAGTGAATGCAGAAAGAAATGTCTAAACCCAGGCTATGTGGGGATGAGGTCTTACTTTCTGTTTTATTGTATGTATTTATTTTGGAGGCAAGATCTGACTATGTAGCATACTTGGCCTCCAGTTAGTAATCCTCCTGTTTCAGCGTCCGGGCTGCTGAGACTATGGGTATGTAGCAACACATCAAGCTTCATTTTAACTTTTGATATGGCAAGACAGGAAGCATGAAAAGCAGCCTTGTCATTATTGAGATGACATCCTCTGCTCCCTCCTCCATGAAGTCAGTTTGAATTGCCCAGTAGATAAAGTCTACCAGTTATCCCGAGCACCCTGGTGAACAGTAGAGTTCCTACTTGTCTTTCACTAATGATGATGACAGGAGTTCCATATATCTGTCTTGGATACCAGCAGAGTTAGTTCTTTCCACACTATGTCTCACGTCTGGCCATTGATTTGATGCACATTTTCTCCTGTGCAACATGTGGTGGAATTTTACATGTCAGCATTTTATACACGTGTGTTCACTTATCTGTGCAGCTTGGCTATTTCCAAATATTGGATTCTTTTATAGAATACTAGCTGTTGGGGGTTGCTGATAGATCGCTGTCTTCCAGCAGGTCTGGCTACCAGATATTAAGGAAGGCAAGTTGCGTAAACATTTATAAACATTTGTTGGCCAGCAAAATGGAGAAAAGTCCTCCAAGTAGACAGATCTGCTGAAGGCCCAGCCTCTGTCCCTTAACTTACTGTCCTATTAGAGGCAAACCTCTATAGAAGTTATTGTCCACCTTAGACTACCTGATATGTCTTAACTCTGTACTTTATTATAGGTCATTTAAGTATCACGATGTGGGCATTGTCTCCAGAGATACAGGCTTCAACTAGTATTGGATTTCTGTGCCCTGCTCATGCATGGTTTAGGTAGTGCTCTGTAATACCAGCCAGTCGTTCTTTTTTTTTTTTTAAGATTTATTTATTTATTATGTAGACAGTATTCAGCCTCCATGTATGCCCACACACCAGAAGAGGGCACCAGATCTCATTACAGGTGGTTGTGAGCCACCATGTGGTTACTGGGAATTGAACTCAGGACCTCTGGAAGAGCAGTCAGTGCTCTTAACCTCTGAGCCATCTCTCCAGCTCCTAGCCAGTCATTCTTGAATCCACAACTTTATCCAATGGGAAGCTTTCTGCCTGCTTGATGTCATCAGTTACAGCTTATTCGTTTCATCCACGGTGGCAGTTAGCAAGGCATTTCAAGGCTTGTGGACTTGTCTCTCAGGTGTGGCATCTGTTAACTCTTGTCTGTCCACTCAACCCACTTTTACTTTTTGAGATTGAGACTTAAATAATTACGAAACTGTTGAAGCAGGGGTTCTTTTCTATTTGTTTTGTTTCTTAGGACATTGTTTTGCTCTGTAGCCCAGCCTGGCCTTGGGGCAGTCTCCCTACCTCAGCCTCTAGATCAGTGATTCTCAATCTTCCTAATGTTGCGACCCTTTAATACAACTCCTCATATTGTGATGACCCACAACCATAAAATTATTTTTATTACTACTTCGTAACTGTAATTCTGCTACTGTTATGAATTATAATGTAAGTATATGTGGTTTTTTTGGATGATCTTAGATGACCCCAAAAGGGGTTTGCAACCCAGGAGTTGAGAACCCCTGCTCTAGGTCCTGGAATTACACTCCTGTTCCACTGCACCTTTCTGCTAAGTTCTTGTTTAAATTTTTTAATTGACTATTTTATGATAATGAGGGCAACAAAGTATGTGTACAATAAGGCTAGACTGAAAATGAGAGGCGTCTAAGATTTATCGTTTGGGTAGAACACTGTGTCCACCTCCACTCCGGCCTCTCACCCCCCCCCACACACACACAAGCTCTAACTCTACCCTGGATGAGAGTACTTGGGGGTTGAGCCTTTGGAAGAAAATTACATTCAGATGAAATCTTAAGGCGGGGGCTCCAATGAAGTAACTAGTGTTTCATGAGGAGGGTAAGAGGTACTAGGAATCCTCCTCCTGCCCTCTTTGCCACAGGAAGGGTAAGCAATAAGGCTGCCATCTGGAAGCCAGGTGGACGGGCCCTCACCAGAAGCCCATTCTCAGCACCTAGTTGAGATCAAAACCTTTGAAGTGTCAGAAACAGCATTAATCCTCATTTTCAAGTCACCCAGTTAGGGCTTCAGACAGTCATCAAACTCTTATGTGGAGGACCAGCAGTTTGCTGGAGGCCGACAGTGACTGAGTGGCCTTAGACAGGAGGTCCAGAGAAGGGAAGTTACCCACGTCATCGGAATGGATGGTGTCACAGGATTGACAGTGTCCCCCCAGGGGAGCACAGACGCAGCAACCTGTGAAAAGCGGCACTCGGGGACCAGACTGGCTCCACAGCCCGCGCAGAACCACTTTGCACTCCGGTGCTTTTCGTTGCCTAGTGACCTTAGAGAAATGAGCAACCTCCTATGGCAGAGCATGTGAGGTAAAATAAGTGAGAGTTGTTTGCTTGCTTCTTGCTATGTCAGGGTCCCCTGTCCTCTTAATGGATATTCTATCCCTTAACTATTAATCTCGGACCTGAACGATAATGAAAAACAAATTCTGTGTTCCATGCCTGTTAGGAGCTGAGAGGCGCTTTTTTAAAAGATTGTTTTAAAAGCATCAGGAATCAATTCAGAAATGTTGGTGTCACAAAGTGAGAAAGTGCGCTGTGTCTTAGAGCACACTCATTAACCCTTTACCTGCCTGCTGCAGTCCATCCACCTCTTAGCAATTGAGGGCTTCAGTGGGTGGGCAGTTATCCAGGATTGAGAGAGACATGACATTTAAAAGATGGCTAAAGAGGAAGGAGATTACTGTGTGATTGGTTTGTCTCCAAAGGGATCCAATTTAGACATTTATAAGCAAAGAATGTTGACCTTAAAATGTTCATAGGGCCCAGGATACAAATAACAGCGAGTTTGAATTCTGGGGAACCCTTAACTATTCTACTTTTTTTTAGCTTACTGATTTCATTTTTATACTTATTTATTGGGGCGTGCATTGTGCAACGGTGTGTGTGTGTGTGTGTGTGTGTGTGTGTGTGTGTGTAGATCAAGACAGCTCAAAGAAATTAGTTCTTGCCGTCTACCATCTGGAGATGGGACTTAGAATTCTTTACCCACAGAGCCATCTTGCTGGCCCCTATTTTTATTTAGACAGAATTCTGGTTTTGAAGCATGAATGGACATTTTCAAGTGTGACTCCTAAAACTTGAGTCACTCTGGGTTTTATCAAACGACTGTCCTACCTGCAAGGTAGACTTTCTCATGTATACCTTTTAGTTTCTGGAAGTGCTTTTATTATTTTGCCGTGGAGCATATTTATTTGTGTGCCTAGCATGTGCATTGGGCAGTGTCTTCTGTACTGGGCAGTGGCAGCCTCATATTGTGTTTGCCCTTGAACCAGCCAACAGGTAGGATGTGCAGTTCAGCTGGCATCACCTGCTACAGCTGCCACCTGCCAAGGTCATAAATGTGGCTCATGTATGCCCCACATATATTCTGCTTAAAAAGCCCAACTAATCTTCAAAGTAGTCAGACTCCTGGAGGAGAGTAAGAATAGAGAGCTCGGGCAAGGCTGCAGGAGTAAGGGTCAACTCTCACCTTCTCCATTCTACACAGCTGGCGTCTCACAGAGCCACATGGAGCGCAGTGGATTCTCGTGGGCTTTTGTGGCAAGAAGTTGGTTTAATGTGAAAATCTGGCAGGGAGCAAAATGAAATATGTGCAGATTAAAACCTGAAGTTTTGTTCTGAGCACTATTCTAGAAGAACTAAGTCCAAAGCTGGGTTTTATTATTATTTTACAATAACTGATTGTATCTAACAGGTATCTTCTCTGACGAGCTGGCTTTTACTATTATTTTGCAATTAAAAATGTTAGCTAAGGAACAGAGGTGCAAACATGCAAGTTGGCTGAAGCCCTGTGACCAACCTTGAAGCTTTGCTGGGATGTTTGGAGGGAACTGCTTGCTGACTCTAAAGGGATTTTTTTTGTTCGTGTGTGAATATGGTGTCTGTGTGTAGTCACAAGTGTAATTACACATGCACATGGTGTGTGTAGTTACACACGCACATGGTGTCTGTGTGTAGTCAGAAGTGTAGTTACACGTGCACATGGTGTGTGTAGTTACACATGCACATGGTGTCTAGCCCCAGGTTCTTCCACTGCCCTCTGTATCTCACTCTTTGCAGCAGTATATCATAGTTGAACCCAGTGCTCACCTATGTGGCTAGTCATTAAGTTGTATAGAGTTTGGGTCTGGTGTGTGATGTTTTTACTTTTTTGCAAATTTTAAAGTTTAATCAAAACACAATACACAGAAAGTGAACAATATGGTTAGTTTGGCTAGCAAACTTGCTCTGGAATCCTCCTGTTTCAGCCTTCCAAGTACTTGGATTACTAGTGGATGCCACACCCACATGGTGTTTATGCAGGTTTAGGGGTCCAGACCCTGCTCCTTAGACTTGTGTGGCAAGTACATTATCTGCTGAGTTGTCTCCCCAGCTCTCTAACTAGATCTTAAAAGAGCGAGGCAGATGGCAGTGATTGGCAGAGTCTGCAGTTTTCTCTTCCCGTTAGGCATCAAGAGAAGCTTAGCTTGGTTGTGCTTAACTTCTATTTGCATGTTGTGTCTAACTAACCTTCACTCCACTTGGTTTTAGGTGTTAAAAGTGAACCGTTGAGGCCTGAAACTTCAGACAGCTCTTGTTCAGACCTTGTCAGACCTCACAAGAAACCAAAGAAATGTGGGAAAGGACAAAAGGTCAGTGGATAAAAGTGTGATTACAGACCTTCAAATGCTAAGATATCAAGTTATACACTGGGTTAATGAGGCAAATTATTTCATGCATCATGTGTTTGTTTAAGAAATTAATTACAGGTGAATGTGGGCAGTTTGCGTATAACACTGAAGGTCTGACGTCATGCAGGATGAAGTGTTGGCACTGACAAACCTAGCTTCCTCATGTCACTTTACCAGCACATGCCTGGCTGTGAGCAAACCTGCTGCTGCTCCTAGGCACAGCGAGGGCCAGTGTCTGTTGCTCTGTGCCAGTTTGCAAAATATTCGCTAAATTGGGGTAAAACTCCCAGATATCCTCCATTTGTGAAGAAATCAAGGCCTGGCATAAAGCCCTAAAACCAGTAGTCACAAAGCTCATAGAGTCTATGGTGAACTTGAAGTCAGTGTGGTGGGGGAGATGACCCTGCTAGGCCAGGAGAATAGTGACAGCGACTCGATTGCTTAGACCTTGCTAGAGGCACTGACTGAGATAGAGGGAGGGAGAGGACAAGTGCCTTTGCCACTTGGTGGATTTGAAGAACGGTAGAAATTCCTTGATAGGTGTTTTATATTTAAGCTTCCTAGCACATTGAGATCTTTTCTGCAGGGTTGGGATGAGCGTTTGTTTGACATCTGGTGGTTCAATTTGCTGGTATTAAGGCTGACTATAGGATTGTGGATTAGATTGGTAACTAAGTACAGCTTCCTTATCTAAATCATCTCCAGGTTAAACTAGTACCTGTCCTCCTCCTATTTCCCCTCAGAAACAAGAATTTCGCCTGCTTGGTTTTCATCCATAGTAGATTTGAAGATGATCATGGTAAAGTGAAATCTGAGATTGGGACAAGCCCTGTTTTTGTGTACAGTGCAAAGCAAGAGATTCCATTTTATTAAGCATGGAACTTGTTCATTTTATCTTTTTAAAATATTATGATAGAGCCAGGGCTGTAGCACAACAGCAAGCCTGTGTGGTTTGATCTCCAGGGCTGCAAAGAAATGAACATCTCATAATTGAATGTTAATGTTGAAAAGAGAGTTTCACCGGGCGGTGGTGGCACCCACCTTTAATCCCAGCACTTGGGAGGCAGAGACAGGCTGATCACCATGGTATCGAAGCCAGCCTGGTTTACAGGGGAAGTTCCAGGAAGCCAGAACTACACAGGGAAACCTTGTCATGAAAAAAACAGAAAGGAAGGAAGGAAGGAAGGAAAGAGAAAAGGGGGTTTTATCTGCTAATTATTGTGACACATGTAGGTTGACTAGTCTGGTGGCCAGGATAGTGTTTTCATGTGTGCTGCTGCTGTGGGGATGAACACAGCTTGAAGCTCAGATATTTCTCTGGGACCTAACTGGGTCTTCACTCTTAGAGTAGCAAGGGTCCATCTTAGCAGGCCAGTCAGAGTGGGTATTGCTGAATCCTGTGTAACATGGAGATTCGGGGTGAAGGGTAGGGGACCTTGAGAAGATCCAAGGTCTAAGCATCAAAGGAGATGAGGTACCTACCCAGTGACAGTGTACCACAGTGCTGTGTTTATTGTGAGCCTTCCTGAGGGCCACAGTCCTCCTTGTTTAATCTGTGGTTTGTTCTGAGAAATTACCAGCTATTGCCTTTTATTGATTTGTTGGGGGGGGGCTTCTGGGGGATGTAAATATTTGTTATGTGTGCACTTGCATATGGAGGACATTGCTTCACACGTTATTTCTTGAGATAGGAACTGAACCTGGAACTCACTAATTGCCTAGACTGAGTAGCCATCGAACTTCAGGGACACACCTGCTTTATCTTCCCTCTCCCCTGCCCCCAACCCCATGGATGCTGGGGATTTGGACTCTGGGCCTCATTCCTGTACTGAGAGCACTTCACCTCCCCACTCACAGCATCTCATAGTCCACTATGTGCATCCCTTTGTGAAAAGAGAAAGGGAAAACTGAGTCAAAAGAAAAAATTCTCCCGATTGGTCAAGAAAAATACATTAAACATCTAAGTGTTGTTCTGGTTGGTTGTTTTTGTCAACTTGACACAAACTAGAGTTATCTGAGAAGAGGACCCTCAACAGAGAAGATGCCTCCGTCAGATGGCCTGTTTAGGCAAGTCTGTAGTGCATTTCTTGATTCATGATTGATGTGGGACAGCCCATCTACTGGCGGCATTGCCACCCTTGGGCAAGTGGTCCTGAATTGTGTAAAAAAGCAGGCTGAGCAAGCCATGAGGAGCAAACCAGTAAGCAGCTCCCCTCCATGACCTCTGCTGCAGCTTCTGCCTCCAGGTTCCTGCCCTGACTTTTCTCAGTGATGGCCTTATAAACTAAGATGGAATAAACCCTTTCCTCCCAAGTTGCTTTTGGTTATGATGTTTATCACAGCAATAAACACCCTTATCTTACCTGAGTTTCTTTTTAGTAGGGAACAAATAAAATTCTATAAAGAATTTATAGTCTCAAGATTATAACTTCCATTAGAATAACTTTGGTTTGATACACACTTTCAATAGGAAGAGTATCTTTACAATCAGCCCATCATCAGTCTCTTTTAGGTTGACAGTTCTAATACTGATAAGTTTATTTGACCTCTTTTTACTCTGAGAGCTTGGTTAAGCAGTTTATTAGCTTTCCTTTTTGGTTTATAGTATGTTTAGTTGTGGGCGGTGATAAAGTACATCATCGCAGAGAGGGAGGAATATAAACTCAGGCAAATTGACCATTGAATTGTTGAGCATAGAACTCAAGGAAGCTAAATGTGGGCTTCATGCTTGAACTCCGTAAAAGTACATGAACTTTGTTCCTCCGCGGTTTTTCGTTTGTTCTGTTACTTCTGGGCTTGTTGTTGTCCGAAAGATTATTATCCTCAAGAAAAATTTAACCTGAATCATCAACTGCATAGCTCTTGGTCAGTGGCAGAGTTTTTAAAATCTGGGCTGTGCCTGCCAATCCAGGTTGTTCCGCAGGAAGACAAGCTGTGGGTCAGAGCACAGAGGGTTTGCAGATGGCTTTCATAGATGCAAAGCCTTGGGCAGAAGGAGAGGACCAATGTGCCACACCTATTTTAACAAGGTTTTTGTTGTTTTAAAAGAAGCCATACACCAGATAGAATGCTTCCATTTCTATTAGCATTTTAAAAGATGATGATGATGATGATAATTTGTATGCGTGTATGCACATGTGTTCTATGGCTTACATATGGAAGTCATTGGGTATCTTCTACTGTGTGGGTTCTCAGGCTCCAACTCAGGTTGTCAGGCTACATAGCAAGTCTTTTTACCCCCTGAGACATCGTCCTGGCCCAGAACACATACATTCTTGTACATGAGCAAGGAAACAAATAACTTGCATGTATTTTAATAATTGCTATTCTCTAAACTTTATTAGGCTTTGGGTCTATAGGAGCATGCTCCATGTTGTCTTGCAGTACTCTGCATGATACAGTACTCCATGCACGTCAGGGACGCAGTGAATGTCTGTTCACATGTGTATAGGTACAGTAGGTTTGTAAATGTAAACTTCAGTTCTCACACTTTTATAATCAGTGCTGTGCCCAGTGAGCCATTTCCCAAGCCCTCCCTTTTATGTTTTCATTTGTTTTATGTATGGGGATGTTTTGCCTTCATGTATGTCTAGGTTCCATAGTGTGCAGTGCTCACAAAGACTACAAGGAGCAATAGATCTCCTCAGGCTGGAGTTACAGATTCTGAGCTGCCAGAAGGATGCTGGGAATCAGATGTGGATCCTCTGGAAGAGCAGCCAGTGCTCCTAACCATTGAACCATCTCTCCTTCCCTTCTTTGACTTTTTGACTCAACGTGTTTCTGTCATTTCTTGTGCTCTCTGATCCTACTCCATTGGAATCATTGCCACGTAGTGTGTTTTTGTTTGGTTTGGTTTGGTTTTTTGTAGATGCTCCCCTCCTAGAGAGGGGGTTTTGCATCATGAAAGATGGAGTCTCTCCTCAAAGTTGCGTGCTGTAGTCCATCACTGCAGTTGACTCCTGACATAAGGCCTCTTTCCGCCATGAAAAGGGACTCCAGACATGTATCTCACTGTTATGACAAAGTAAATAATTTTCCAGTTTGCAATAATTCCAGGACTTTGGCTGTATGCCTTTAGATATTATGGTGGATGCTTTGATTTCAAGCTTAACTTTCAAGTTTAAATAGCAGTGATTCATCCAGATGACAGGTGATATTTGTTTTTGTTCTTGAAAATTCAACATGAGAGTATTTATTATTAAGCGAGTCAGGGAATTGTCACACTTCCTCTAAGATGACACATTTTCTAAATGTCCCCGTAAACAGTTTCCTGCTGTTTATTCCTGCTGGGTTCACTGAGATAGGGCCATCTCAGGGTGGGTCCGTTGAGAGCCTTTGGGAGATGGGTTTAGAGAGACTGAGCGTTTGTTTCTAACACAGATGTTTGGTGATCTGCTGTTCCTTTGATAAACCCTTCCCAGCAAACCAAAACCAGAGCTGGCAGAGGTAGGATGAACTCTCATTGTGGCAGGTGCAGGGTTCATTAGCGGATGCTGCTTTATGAAGCCACTTAGAAACCAGTGGCATGTGAATGACCCACAGTTATTGTCTGCTCCCATGAGTGTGTTGCTGTCTTTTTCTTGTTATGTATGACAGAAAATGTTTCTATAGAAAATATTTAATGGAATCTTCAAAGAGCTTTGGATGCATTGTGACGTGTGTAGCTCAGAAGTCATCAAATACAGCTGTGGTGTGGTGCACATGACTGTAATCCCAGCACCCAAGAGGGGGAGGCAGGAGGCTCAGGAGGTCAAGGTCATCCTCAGCTGTGTAGCAAATTCAAGCCTTATATTGGACAGAAGTCTCTACCAAACTAATTACGAATAAGAAGAGCAATGTGAACATGTTTAGCCTGAGCCACGTGAGACCCTGCCTCAGAACCAGCAGCAGCAACAATCTTGAGATATATTTGGACTGGAGATAGTGGAATTGAGGGCCTGTTGGACAGATTCCTCTAGACC